AAATAATATAAAATAAAACTTTGGTTAATTAATAGTTTAGTAGGTAACATAATTGTTGACTTTTAAAATTAAATAAAAAACTAAAAAATAGTATAATATTATTAAAWAAAATAGTTGAAAGAAGATTGTTGAAGAAGAAGGTTTTATATTATTATTCACTATCAACTTCACAATTATCACAAGTATAATAAGCAGTAAATTTAACAATTAAACACTTGGTGTGCTTCAAATTTATACTTAATAAGTACATATTCGTACTTGTTCATGAACATATTCATATTGAAAGGATTGAAATTCATCGCTTTTGATAAACTTGTGGCCTCTGGTTGGCGAATCGACAGTGTAGAATTCCGTTTCAAAAAATTAGAAAACCAGTCCTTACCAGCTGATTCATTTTCAATGCAATAGGTACAATGGTACTTTTATGTTTAATTTATGWGCAAACTCAAACGCTAATTTTCTAACATCTCTGGTACTTAATCCGAAGTACATATCACAACGATTTTTTAAATAWTTAGATAACAAGGTTTCTTGATCACTGTTAAAAACTCTAGTATGTAGTTGATAACCACATTTTGGTGGAGAACTCTGTCCTAACTTACTAGCTCTTAATTTTTTGACAAATTTTGATTTTTGATTTTTGAATGATTGAATTTTGATTCAAACTAACATGGCAAATTTCAAATTCTCTAGCAAATGACCGTACTGATTTGCTTTCATTAATGCACATATCTGCAGGTTTCTTCATAACCTCATTGTCAGTTCCTCTGTTAATAGTTCTTTTTCWTATTCGTGCCATAACTACAAATCAAAATATAAAATAATATTTGCTAAACTCTTAATAAAATATAAAATGTTGCAATTGTAACCGGATAAGCTGTTACATTTGTACCCAATCAATATTTTTCTAAATACTTAATTAATAGAAAAAATACTGACCAGTGACCTGTTGGCTGTTAAGGCATTCACACCTAAACAGACAAAAACTACACAACTATTGTAATATATAAAAGTAACTATGGTGATATACAACAAAACTCTGTATTCAAGTAAAAAAAGTAATTGAATGATTTTTTTTAGTATCAGTTATCAAAAACACATTTCATTTTGTTTTTCATTCGGTAAACATGTTATCATAATTTTGATAAGGGACATYGATTGTTATACAGCGGAACCAACTGTTATATTTTATTTGAGATTTTTGTATTGGTTAATGACCAAATTATTGGTTGTGTTACAATTGTACCCGGTCTCCCTATGGAATGGATGGAATTAAATTTGAATCCAATGATATTATATTATTGTATACGAAAAACGATTCTGAGCGGAGAAGGTTTATGGAGGATATATTATGGATTATTAAAAATTTTCAAATCTTAGATTTAAAAAAAAAAATTTTATGAATTTCTAGTTTAAAATAATTTGCGAATTTCCGTGATTTTTATGTATGTTGTCAAGATTAAAATATTAACGCTTGTAAAAAAAAACGTGACATCGTGACTATGTATATTTCTTTTATTTTTCAACTGCTATTGTAAAAATATGTTAGGAGCCTTGTATTA